ACCAAGCCTCCCTGGCCTGTGTTACTAAGCGATCACTAAATGTGTCAGGCCGTAACTGACCTAAGAGCTAATCCAGCCATGCTTCTTCTCAGCTTTGAGTAGGGCCTGGATGTACAGTTAACTCGGGGGCAGCTGAGTCCTCTGGCATATTTGCCGTACAAAGTTCATCCTCTTCAGTCCAAATGATGGCATGGTAGAGAATGCTTCTGCAGTCCCCCAGCTGGTTAAAGTAGTTCATAGGATCCCCAGGAGCACCTTATTACCATTGGTGGCTATGCTGCAAATGTACTTTGAAAAGCCTTTTGTTTTTCTTGCTGCTTTTACGGCTTTCTTATTTAGGTGTTACTATTTCTGCTACATCAATTTCTCCTGAGTGACACTAAAGGCCCCAGGATTTGAATTTGCCTGTGACCCCAACTATCAACACTATACTGTATTTTTTTTTCAGAAAGTCTGTTTTGCATTAATTTGTTCTAAGGCCCATTCCTACCTCCCAGGGACAGTAATATATCACAGCAGGGGGTGGCAAACGTTTTCTGTAAAGAGAACGATAGTCACTGTTTAAGGCCTTCATGTCTCACGGTTTGCTGTTCAACTAGGTAACTCTGCGTGGTAGCCATAGATAATACTAAATGAATGAGCATGGGACCATGTTGTAATAAAGCTTTATTAAAACAGGTGATGGGGGGCAGCCCGTGTGGCTCAGTGGTTTAGCACAGCCTTTAGCCCAGGGTGTGATCCTGGAGACCCGGGGTCGAGTCCCACATCGGGCTCCCTGCATGGAGCCTGCTTCTCCCTCCGCCTGTGTCTCTGCCTCTCTCTCTCTCTCTCTGTCTCTCTGTCTCTCATGAATAAATAAATAAAATCTTTAAAAAAATAAACACAGGCAATGGGCCAGATTTGGCCCAAGGGCCTTTGCATGTGCATCACTGAATTAGAGGGGCATACTTCTTGCCCACTCCTGATTTCCTTCCAAATACAGAGCCGTGGGCACCTCGTACCTCAGGCGTCTCTCTGCACAGTCCCAGATAAGTAGAGCCATATATCAGATTGGTGACTTTAGAAAGAATAAACCGGACCTGCCAGGTTCAACTCTGTTCTTTCTCTGTTGGCAGTATCTGGCCCACAGGGGGTAGGGGTTCGGCTCTGCTTTTTCTGGGGCCCACAGCTGCAGTGGCTAGGTAGGTCTGCAACCCATTTTTGCCCAGAGTCCTTAGCAGTAACCTGCAACCTGGCTTTTATCTCTGATAGATATGTATCCTGGCCTCCATCTGCTTTAATCTTTTATCTTATTTCGCAATAGTTTCAAAGTGGTACTTAACAGGACTCCTCAAAGATACACATAAAATGATGTATTTGTGAAATTCTTTTTTCATTTTGTCAGGAAGCCATACGAAATTTATGTTCTCTCAATAAAACAGCATGGACCAACTTAAAACATCGGGATTCCCGGCCTTTTGGCTGCTTCTCTCATGCTGTGCAGTAATGTTCTGCATGAATCACAAATTGGCAACGATACAGGTCTTGCTTACTTAAATTGTAAAAATTCATTTAATAAATGAAATTATTTCCAGAAAAGTCCTTCCGAAACATATTGCTCATGGGAGGAAACACTCTGGGGTCTGTGCTGGCAGTGAGGTTGGGCACCACCGCTCTAAATCTCTCCAGTATTAATACTGAGTGGATATTCATGCTTAGGAGCACAGCACCCAGGGCTGCAAAGACAGGAGAGCTACGAATGTTCTTTCTTCCTTCTGTCCGCCTGTCCTTCTGTATTGCTCAAAGCCAAACAAAGAGGTGCTAACAGATATGAAGTCCTCCTGGTCAAGGTTCATGTGTTAGCTTGCTCAGGCTGCCAAAACAGAGCACCCAGACTGGGGGGTTTAAATGACAGAAATGTACTGTCTCGCAGTTCTGGTGGCCGGAAGTCTGAGATCAAGGTTCGTTCCAGCCTCCCTCCTTGGCTCGGGGAAGGCCATCTTCTCCCTGTGTGTTCCTGCCATCTTCAATCTATGCATGTCTGACTCTGGGTCCATAAGGACACTGGTCATACTGGATGAGGGCCCCACACCCAATGACCCAACTTTGATTTGATTGCCTCTGTAGACCGCCTCCGAGTACGCTCACATTCTGAGGTGCTGGGGATGAGGATTCGAACATGATTATTTCAAGGGGACCTAATTCAACCTGTAACAGTTGCTTAACCTAGAAACCACTGCTTTTGTTGGTAAGGTGAAGCTCCAGGACGTTCTCCTACATTTCACGGGGGGCAAGTCCTCCCGTGTGTGCTGACCTGATCTGGATGGGATCCATCTGGGCCCTGGGGGTGGTGGGTTGGGAGGAAAAGAGGAAAAGAAGGATGCATTCTGTGGGAGTCCCTCACACATCATGAGGGAAAGCCCTCCTTCCTCCCAGGCACTTGGCTCACCTATACCCTCGCTGAGCCACTCACTGCAGGCTGAGCATCCTTTTAATAATGATGCCCCGCACCCTGAACCCCAAGACACACTGCAGCAAGACACAGCAAAAGGTACATTGGAGACATTTAGTGGAAATGGCTTGACCACAGGAGTAGAAGACTCCTGAAAAGTTCTGAATTTGCTTCTTTTCCTATGGCTTCTCTTCCTGCTTCCACTGTACAGTGGCCTTCATAGACCAGCAGGTTATCCCCAGGAGGCCTGTGTGCCTGCTGGGGCCAGACCAGAATCTTTTTTTTTTTTATAATAAATTTATTTTTTATTGGTGTTCAATTTGCCAACATATAGAATAACACCCAGTGCTCATCCCATCAAGTGATCCCTTCAGTGCCTGTCACCCATTCACCCCCACTCCCCGCCCTCCTCCCCTTCCACCACCCCTAGTTCATTTCCCAGAGTTAGGAGTCTCTATGTTCTGTCTCCCTTTCTGATATTTCCTACCCATTTCTTTTCCCTTCCCTTTCACTATTATTCATATTCCCCAAATGAATGAGAACATATAATGTTTGTCCTTCTCCGATTGACTTATTTCACTCAGCATAATACCCTCCAGTTCCATCCACGTTGAAGCAAATGGTGGGTATTTGTCGTTTCTAATGGCTGAGGAATACTCCATTGTATACATAAACCACATCTTCTTTATCCATTCATCTTTCGATGGACACCGAGGCTCCTTCCACAGTTTGGCTATTGTGGACATTGCTGCTAGAAACATCGGGGTGCAGATGTCCCGGCGTTTCATTGCATCTGAATCTTTGGGGTAAATCCCCAGCAGTGCAATTGCTGGGTCATAGGGCAGGTCTATTTTTAACTCTTTGAGGAACCTCCACACAGTTTTCCAGAGTGGCTGCACCAGTTCACATTCCCACCAACAGTGCAAGAGGGTTCCCTTTTCTCCGCATCCTCTCCAACATTTGTTGTTTCCTGCCTTGTTACTTTTCCCCATTCTCACTGGTGTGAGGTGGTATCTCATTGTGGTTTTGATTTGTATTTCCCTGATGGCAAGTGATGCAGAGCATTTTCTCATGTGCGTGTTGGCCATATCCATGTCTTCCTCTGAGATTTCTCTTCATGTCTTTTGCCCATTTCATGATTGGATTGTTTTTTCTTTGCTGTTGAGTTTAATAAGTTCTTTATAGATCTTGGAAACTAGCCCTTTATCTGATACGTCATTTGCAAATATCTTCTCCCATTCTGTAGGTTGTCTTTGAGTTTTGTTGACTGTGTCCTTTGCTGTGCAAAAGCATCTTATCTTGATGAAGTTCCAATAGTTCATTTTTGCTTTTGTTTCTTTTGCCTTCGTGGATGTATCTTGCAAGAAGTTATTGTCTAATGTGGGCTCCCTGCCCTGCTCTCCCTGCAGGCAGCTGTCCAGATCTGCCTGTGGTTATCTTCAGTTTGCAGGAGGGCTCTCCAAGGGTTTCTGTACCCTGGACTTTCTGGGCACAGTCGCTGCGGTGAGGGACTAGCCAGTGTGGTGCTCCTGAGACCCGCCTTCAAATCCAGGGCAGAGGGGTCACCTTGCTGCTCCTGGTGGTGGTACTTGAAGCCCAGTGGCTCCCAATCCCTTCCCCTAAGAAACATGACCCTAGTCCACCCCCAAATAGCTGGCAACAAGGGGTGAGCATTCTTGCACCCCACCCTACCCTGTAGGCCCTAACCCCAGGGCCTCATCCCAGGTGAGCATACCCCCCACCCCAACACACACACACACACACACACACACACACACACACACACGGCTCAGCCCCTGCCCATCCTCTAGCTGTGGCGGGAGGTCCACCTTACTCTTATGGTCCTGGTAACTGTACTCTTTGGGGTCCAGGCATCCCAGAGAAAGGCTGCTGGCCCACTTTGCTTCCTGCTGTGACCCTGATGCCCCCTTAGTCTGTCTCCTGGGGTCCTACTCCAGTGCCTTCACAGGCTGTGCAGCCCTGCTTCTGTCCCCACCCTCCACTCCCACCCTTTCGGGTTTTTTGTTGTTGTTGTTGTTTTTGTTTGTTTTTTAAGATTTTATTTATTCATTCATGAGAGACAGAGAGAGGCAGAGACTCAGGCAGAGGAGAAGCCGGCTCCATGCAGGGATCCCGATGTGGGACTCGATTCTGGGACTCCAGGATCAAGCTGGAGGCAGATGCTTAACTGCTGAGCCACCCAGGTGTCCCCACCCCACCCCTTTGAAGCCCCATCTCCAGAGTCCCACCCCAGAGTTGCTTACCAGTCCCTGGGATGCCCTAAAGTGTAGCCCTGGGCTGCAGCTCCCCTCATCCAACCTCCCCTGCCCTTCTCCCTAGACTTGGTCGTCGGGAGTGAGGTCTCAAATGGATCCGCAGCAGAACTCCAACCCAGACCCGCAACCCGCAGGGCTGCCTGACCCTATCCCTCCTCTCCTTCAGCCTCCTTCTTAGCTCCGCATCCCCGCTCCCATCCCCTCTCCCCACCCCCGGCCCGGCTCCCCCCGCCCGCCTCCTGCCCGCCCCTCCGCCCCGCCCCCCTGCGCAGCCCCTCCCCAGCACGGCTCACCCGGCCCCGGCGGGAGTAGTAGCTGTGCTCCTTGGGGTCCAGGCGCCGCGGCGGCACGTAGCTGAAGGCGGACAGCGCCGAGAGGGGCAGCGGCCGGGGCTTGCCCCGCAGCGTGCTCGCGGTGACCTCCTCCTCGTCGTCCTCCATGCCTCCGGGTGCAGCCCGCCCGCCGAGGGGCCCGGCCCCGCCCCTGCAGCCCGCCCGCCGCCCGCGTTCGGCGTCGCCTGGAGACCGCGGCGCGCGACGCCGGGGGCCGCGGCGGGGCGGGGCGGGGCGGGGCCGGGGCGGACCCCCTCCCGCGCCCCCTCCCGCGCCCCGCCCTCCCGCGGCCCCCTCCTCCCCCACCTCCCCGCCCGGCACCGGGGCGTCTCCTCGGGGGTGCGGCCCCGGAGCCCCCGCTGCAGAAGCGGCTGCGTGGGGGTTCCCGCGGGGCGGAGCTGGGCTGGGACGAGCACCTCCCGCCCTCCGACCCGTCCCCACGCAGCGGCAGCTCGGGCCCGCGCTCCTACCTGCGCGGCTCGGAGGTGCGTCCTGCAGCCGGGCCGCCGGCGCCCCCGTGGGGCTCGCGGTCCGCGGGGGGAGGGAAGAGGCGCCGTGCGGGCCCGGAGCAGCGCCGCCGAGGGGAACGCAGGGGGAGCCACACACGAACTTAGAACTTTCTGGTAGCCACACCGAAGAGGGAAAAAGACCCAGGTGAAATCCACTGTGATAATCTTCATCCTACTCAGTTTGTCCGGAACATCATCGTTTCATCACGTGTTATTAGCCACAGCGCAAGGGCAGGTGGCCGCGTGTGGCTGGTGGTTTGGGCCGCGGAGGTGTAAAGCTCCCAGGAATTAAATCAGGGTGTCCGCGGCTCCGCCTGGGCTCGGGCGCCCCTCTGCCGCCCCTCTGCCGCCCCTCTGCCGACCGGTCGTTCGTCTCTAGATCGGAGCGCTGGCTCAGCAGGCCTGCTCCCCTGACCGAAAAGTTCATGGAGCAGGGGTCGGCCTCTCCAACCTCCTGTAAAGACGGAACAGGTGATGAGTTGGCCCCGAGGCTTTGAAAATCTTGCTTAGGTAATTCGGTGTCGCGGTGTGGAAAGTGGAAGTAGCTGACACCGATTAGCTTCAGAGGGCAGCTAAAACTGACACTGAAATAATTTGATCATGAAACCCTGTCCCACATTCTAGGGATGTGAATCTGTTACTTGTCTCGGTAGGTGACATTTAATTATGGGCTACCCTGGGAGCTCTGGAGGGCAAGGCGACACGCATACATCTGTTCCTTCTTTGATGGCTCAAATAGGTCCTCAGCAAATATTTGGTGACTAAATAAAGGGATGCAGTCACCACAGCTTGGTTCCCTCTAAAGGTACAACTAGGACAAGGGCTTGAGTGCTCTTGTCTTATTTGGGAGATAATCCCAGGGAGCATGAATGAAGGACCAGAGGAGCGAGAGGAGCAGGAGAGTAGGAATAAGGATAAGTTATCAAGGTCATGGCAGAGGACAGCTGAGGCGCTGCCGTGCCCAGAACTTTCTGGGCAGCATGAAGTGGACACTCAGAATTGCCTGCCAGACAGACCTGGAGGTGCCTTTTATCCCTGGTCTGCAGTCCTCCTGGGTTGACACCTGCTCTTGGATCTTTTACTCCTGACCATGTATGACCCCTGCCCGGGGCTACACGGGCTCCCCTGCAGACATCTCGGAACCAGAGAAACTCTGGGTTTCACAGCAGAGGGCATAGGGCATCTACTGAGTGGTGCTGCTGTTTGAGGAGGTGAGCGGTAGCCCCGAGGAAGGCTGCCATCCCCGAGGCTGCAAGGACAGGACCTAAAGGCGGAGAAGATAATAGGTAAGACATGCTTTGCCCGTTTCCGTTATCTAGAGGACCAGATTCCTTTAAAAACTTTTTTCCTCCTGTATGATCCTATTATGTATTCCAGGTATGAGTGAAACCCGAAGTCAGAGTCTAATTTGTGTAAGTCCTTCATGTCTGTAACTTGTACTTAGAAAGTTCTATGCAGGAGGGAAAGGGAAAAGAATGAACAGTTAACTCTCAAAGGAAGTGAATTGATCGCGCAAGCATGCACACACCGCCTGTGAGTTAACCGTCCAGGGTGCAAGTGACAACCTCAGCCTCAGTCCGTCTCCCGGGGCCAGTGCAGGAGCATGGGGTTGTTGCTGACTTTGGGGAGATCATGTTGCCCGGCTCCGGCCCAGGCTGACTGCCACTGTCTCGTGACGGTCCACGCAGCCTGCGGTGCTCACCCGGCAGAACCTCTGCTACCTCTGCAGGAACAGGGGCCAAGTACTTGCGGGGCGGCCTCTACTGCATTAACAGGGCTGCTCTCCGGAGTGTGGGAGGTCCTGAGTTCACATTGCAGCTGGAACCCTGTGCCATTTCTCCTGACATCTGGACAGATGTGAGCATGGGGAGGCCCAGCAGGAAGTGCTCTTTATTGACGTCAGGCAGGGAAGGAGAAATCACAGAAGAAGCCGCCGTGTCCCAGTTAGCACGTCACATAATATGCAGCAGTGGCTTCAGTGGTATGTAATGTTTATCAGGACCTCTCAGAAACCAAACCCTTCAAGGTTTCAGGCCAGAAAGGAGCCTCTAGGTCTTTGTGCTGATGAGAGAGTGGAAATGTGGCAGGGTTCTGTGCAGTGCAGGGGACACAGCCAGTGGGGGGGCCTGCAGGAGGGTGTGGGAAGCTCGTGGGAGAGACGGGGCCTGTCTGATGGGAGGGTTTTCTTTGTAGGGCTTCGAGACCATCCAGAGATGCAGCCAGGACCCTACTAAGCACAAAGCCTCATGCTGCATTTGGAGGTTTCAAAACAAGGGTAAAAAATAATAATAATAAATATAAATATAAATAAAACAGGGTTAATATCTCCATTTTGAATATGAAAATTTTTACAATTATTTTGTCTTTAAATGTCAATGTAAACTTAAGTGGCTCTACATAATTGGGCTTTAATTCACAGGCTTTAAAACATCAGAAAACTGACTTGGATTGAGTGCTCCTCCACATTTGGCAGGCTGAGAGTACAAGGGACATAAAAACACCACATTCGACACCAGCTAGGAGGAGAGTGCATCAGACTTCAGGGGGCATTTTGACGTCCAGGGCTATATGAAAGGATGCTCTCACAAGGCCAGATAGCTGCCTGCACCAGTTTCCAAAACCCGCACCAGTGCTGTCTGATGGTGACAGCAGCAGTGTGGCTCTGGGCATGGAATGGGGCACTGCTGTCTTCCAAACTATCGTAACCAGATCATGAGCATGCTGGTGGGCCATGGCGGGACTGGACAAGCCTTTACCTTCCTGGACACCTCTTCCATGGTAAAATGACATGATCATTGGATTTAGATCAGTGGATTTAGAGAGCATGTCTGTCATAAAGATTTTCCTGTAGGCTGGCTCATTAAATTGAAGGGGGTCCCTGTGGTCACTTTCAACATCAAACTTATGAATCAACATATAAATGTAAATTTCATTTTGGTTTGTTCACCTTGTTTTTCTTTAAAGTTTTTATTTAAATTCCAATTAGTTAATATATAGTGTAATATTGGCTTCAGGAGTAGAATTTAGTGATTCATCACTTCCATATAACAGCCAATGCTCATCTCAAGTACCCTGCTTAATGCCCATCACCCATCTAGCCCATCCCCCGCACACCTACGTCCCTTAATTCTCAGTTTGTCCTCTATAGCTAAGAGTCTGATTTATGGTTTGCCTCTTTTTCCCCCCATGTTCATCTGTTTTGTTTCTGAAATTCTACATATAAGTGAAATCATATGGTATTTGTCTTTCTCAGACTAACATATCTCGCTTAACATAAAACACTCGACTCCTCGACATCATTGCAAATAGCAAGATTTCATTCTTTTTTATGGCCAAGTAATATCTCATTGTGTGTTTGTGTGTGTGTGTGTACATGCGTATACATCTTCTTTATCCATGGACGTTTGGACTCTTTCCATACATAATTTGGCTCTTGTAGATAATGTTGGTATTAACATCGGGATGCCTGTATCCCTTTGATTTAGTATTTTTGTATCCTTTGGGTAAATACCTAGTAATGCAATTGCTGGATTATAGGGTAGTTTGATTTTTAATTTTAAGGAAGCTCCATATTGTTCTCCAGAGTGGCTGCACCAGTTTGCCTTTCCACCAAAAATGCAAGAGAATTCCCTTTTCTCAGTATCCTCATCAACATCTGTTGTTTCCTGTCCTGTTAATTTTAGCCATTCTGATCGGTGTGAGGTCTCATGTCATCATGTTTTGTCTTTCTCTGATGATATATGATGTTGAGCATCTTTTCATGTATCTGTTGGCCATCTGGATGTCTTCTTTGGAGAAATGTCCATGTCTTATGCCCATTTCTTAACCAGATGATTTACTTTGGGGTTGTTGAGTTTGATAAGTTCTTTATAGATTTTGGATACTTTATCAGATATGTCATTTGAAAATACCCTCTTCCATTCTGAAGATATTTAGTTTTAGTGTACTGTTTTGTTGTCTCCTTCCCCATGCAGAAGCTTTTCATCTTGATGAAGTCCTAATAGTTTATTTTCACTTTGTTGATTTTGAAATAAAAATGAAGTGATTTTATATGATGCCTAAAATGAACATTTTCTGATACAGCTCTAGCAATGAGTAGCACCACCCTCCAGGAACCAGGTTCTAAAGAGAGGGTTGCCCCCAGGTCTGAGACGGGAAATGGTAACAGGAGCCTGGGGCATTGTGTTGGGCCAAGAAATTTCCAAAAACTAATGTGTCAAGTCAAAAAGACACAGGGGCCAACCTAAAGGGTATCTCATTGGTCTACGAGGAAACAATTTAAGTATCAAAAAGGTGACTGCAATACACTGAAACTATCTATCTATCTATATATATATATATTTCATGAGCGGGTAACTTTCTAAGACAGAAAACACCTGACCAGACCACTAACATTTTATTCTAAAAACTGATACAAGGAAGTAACATTTTGTTTCTCATATTTTTTTTTCTGTATAAACCTTAGTTTAGGGCATGTAAATAGTAGATGAGAGAAATTTCTTCTTTACAGATGAATACAAGCTAATAAAGGTAAAAGTGATGACAGAATTAGGAAATCATTTTTTTCCCCCAAACACCTACTGGGATAATGGATCTAGG